CTTTAGGATGACGATTTTCATTAAACTTCATGAACTCTATAGATTTTTTATTTAACATACGACTCTGCGAGGAAAAATTTAAATCATTTTTGTTTTCTTCAATTGTGAAATTTAGCGTTTTGTAATATATATATATACATATATATATATATATATATATATATATATATATATATATATATATATATATATATATATATATATATATATATATATATATATATATATATATATATATATATATATATATATATATATATATATATATATATATATATATGTATATATATATATATATATATATATATATATATATATATATATATATATATATATATATATATATATATATATATATATTTATATATTATTTTTTTTTGTATATATATATCGTTTTGTATATATATATATACATATATATATATATATATATATGTATATATATAAATATATATATATTTATATATATATATATATATATATATATATATATATATATATATATATATATATATATATATATATATATATATATATACATATATATATATACATAAATGTATATATATATATATATATATATATATATATATATATATATATATATATATATATATATATATATATATATATATATATATATATATACATACACACACTATGTGGTTTCACGGAAAACTTTTTTTTGATAATAAGTTCACCCTCTTTTTGCTTGATTCAAAACTTTTTAGTTTTATTTGCTTAACAAAGTTTCCATAAACTTTTTGTAGGTATATTAGGAGCCTATTAGCAAAACTTACTGAACTATTAAATGAAAAACTGAACTACAAGAGTTGAACTACAGAGTTTTGTATTAACAGAAATCGGCATTTCATTTACCTATTTTTAAAACAAAAAACGTTCAACTATTCTAACATTTAAATAGATCAAATCACCTTATGAATATGGGAAATACTCAATATTTTGCTGATCCTTAAATTTGATCTTTAAATTATAAAATTTGTTCTTTTCAATTTTAAAAGACTGAGCAAAAAATTAATTGATTTATAGTTTCACGGTTAAGATCAAACATTAAGATCATATTATGCATATATTGTCTTTTTTTTTTGTTGTTGTTAAAATATAATTTTATTATTTCACAATAACAATAGTTCTGTTAGCCTTCAGATTTTTTTCTTTATTATATTCTTTATTTTTATCTTTATAATATTCTCTTTTTTATCTTTATTATATTCTTTCTTTATATACTCTATAAATCTTATATATATATATATATATATATATATATATATATATATATATATATATATATATATATATATATATATATATATATATATATACTTTTTTATTTTTCAGAGATCATGTCTAAGTATGCCGAGAATGAAATAAAAAATTGCGTTGGAGATATCATATATATATATATATATATATATATATATATATATATATATATATATATATATATATATATATATATATATATATATATATATATATATATATATATATATATATATATATATATATATATATATATATATATATATATATATATATATATATATATATATATGTATCAGGGGCGGATCCAGGGTGTCGCGAATGATGCGCATGCATCAGTCTTTTTTCAACGCTAAATTTAAGTGTATCTCTTTTTCACTTTTTTTTCTTAATAAAAAGTAAAAGTAGAAATTGGAATCTGGCATTCACAAAAAATAAAATACTTGATTTAAACTCGAAAAAAATTCATTTAAACTCGAATTTATTTTATCTCTATAGTTACTTATTCGTTACTTATACAAAATTCCTGCGTTTTGGAGCAACTGATGCAACTGTTCTTTATTAAATACAAATGTGATTGGTTTAAAAAAAAAAAGTACGTTTTAACCAATCATATTTGTACTTTTTCTCAAATTTTTCCGATCACTTTGTAGCAACTGATGCAATTGTACTCTAAATCATTAATGATTGGTTAAAAAACAGTTTAAACCAATCACTATTTAATAAAATAACAATTGCATCAGTTGCTACAAAACTTCCGCAAAAAACTTTACAAAAAAGATAAGAAATATCATTTATAACCAATCAAATTTGTAGAAAGTTTAGAATAGTTGCATCAGTTGCTCCAAATCGTTCAAATTTTACAAAATTCTGATATGCCACCTGATAAACGTTCTTGGTTTAATTTTCGTCGTTGGACTTTGCTTGTAAACTAAAGTTTAAAAAAAAAATTAATTTTTTAGTCTCAAATGCAATTAAGGCTAGACATTTGCCAAATATTCTAGTATTTAATATAAACTGAGCTTGTTTTAGTATACTTTTTATTTTATTTAAGGTCATCTGAATATGGAAATTGCTCTACAGTTCAGCTTCTTTTTTAAGCAATTCGTCTCTGAAGACAGTTAACGTATTGAGGCTTCTAACTTCGATTGAATTTTTTGAAAAAGCTTCTTACTATGCGAGTTACTCCCTTTTTGTTAAACAGGTTAAAAACAATAATTTTTCTAATCTTTCCAGTGTTCTAGTAGCCTGCGTTTCTTTTGAATGTTCAGATCAATTTAAATTAATTAACAGTGAATCAGCTTCTGAAATTATAATAATGGAAGCATTGATCAACTGCCGAGCTAACAAGTTTTCTTCATTTTTATGTCTAGTTGCTTCGTCATCAGTTTTAAATATTCCTATTAGATCAATTTATCCTGATTTTGGCTTAGAAAAATTCAAAAAACTTTTTAATACAATTATTTTTCCATTTCGTTCAATTAAAAATCAAGATCAAAATGTTTTAAGTATTTTATGGTGTAATACTGATATTATGTCAGTGATGCAAAATAATAATAACTGGACACCAAACCATTTTGTACCAATTATTAAAAAG